TTGAGTTTTTGATTCTTGCTTTGTTGGTTAAGGACAAGCACTCCAAAGTAACCCTTCTCAAAGGAATGCTTAAAGATGGATTATACCAACTTCAAGCTCCAGTTTATTCATTACCTATCTCTGCAGAAGTTTTGGATCAGTTTGTTTAGTTTCAGCACAAAAGCAGTCTAATTTTTTCAATAAATAAGTCATGTAATAAGCCTTGTTGCACTTCTTTTCCTACACAAATGTTGTCAGCACAATTGATGCCAGAACATGTTTTTAGTAGTTGTAAATCTGCCAGTGTTGATTTTGTTAATCAAAATTGTATGCAATACAGTAGACCGCTTGTATCCAACACTGTTATCTGTACTGATGATGCATCTATAATCAATAAAATAAATTCTCTTCAATCATTCCCTGTTCAATCAACTAATGTCATGTTGTGGCACAACCGATTAGGACATCCCAATTCTACTATTCTTGCAAAAGTGCTTGATGTCTTGAAACTACCTTATCCTACTAAGAATAATATAACATTCTGCTTAACCTACCAATTTGGTAAACTACACCAATCTACATATCCTAGATCCACATATCATGCATCTAAACCACTTAAGTTAGTTTACTCAGACCTTTGGGGGCCTTCCCCTGTTACATCTCCCGAAGGCTATAGGTATTACATTCAATTTCTTGATGACCATAGTAGATTCACTTGGCTTTTTCCTTTAAAAGCCAAATCTGAAACTTTAGTGTTTTTAAACAGTTTCATGTCCTAGTTGAAAAGCAATTTAACACATCTTTAAAATGTGTTCAAACCGATTGGGGTGGTGAGTATAAGAAGCTAGTCCCTTACCTACAAGAACATTGTATCATATTTAGACATCCATGCCCTCACACTCACCAACAAAATGGTAGAGTTGAGAGGAAACATAGACAAATTGTGGAACAAGGCCTGACTTTGTTAGCTCAAGCTAGTATGCCACTTAAGTTTTGGTGGTTTGCTTTCCAAACTGCAGCTTACCTCACCAATAGACTACCCACATCAGTGCTGTCCAATATTCTCCTTTCCAAGTTCTATTCAAAACTTCTCCAAATTATTCCCTCATTAAAGTCTTTGGATGTGCTTTCTATCCTTTCCTTCATCCATATAGCAGTCACAAGTTTAACTTTCACACCACCAAATGTACTTTTATTGGCTATAGTTTGCATCATAAGGGATACAAGTGTTTGGATATTTCTGGTCGGATTTATATTTGTCAAAGTGTTCAGTTTGATGAATCTGATTTTCCATTTAAAACATCTAATTTTTCTGGTTCAAATTCTGCACCCCATTCCATAAACACTGAGCCTATTTCCAGTTTATTTGTTCCTTTAGTTTGGTATATACCTGATTTTATCTCTAGTTTATCTACTAATCCTGTTTCAGAGTCACCTTTGTCTGCTTGTCCTTCCACACCATAACAGTCGATCTCATAGGATGTTGCCTTTTCTAGTTCACTTCCTTTATCATCTCCCTGTTCTTCTCAATCTCAGCTACCTCAGCCTCCAACATCTTCACAGTCGAGTCCAACCACTGACCTTAGTCTGCCCTCTACTTCTCTTAACTCTACTTCATCCACATCACCTATTTTATCCCCCATAACTATAGGATCAGATGAGTCTTATGCAACTGTCCCTCTCACTGTTGAACTGTCTTTAACCAAGCCTCCACCTCCTGTCTTGAACACTCATCCCATGGTTACTAGGTCCAAAACCAGAGCACATAATACCATCCTTGTTTCCCCACCTTCTGTTGACAATAAAGAACCAGCTACTGTTATAGAAGCTCTATGCCATCCTGCCTAGAAAGCTGCCATGCAATCTGAATTTGATGCCTTGCTAGCTAATCAAACTTGGGAATTAGTTCCTACTACCTCTGAAATGCATCCTGTAGGCTGTAAATGGGTATTTCGGATAAAGTATAATCTTAATGGTTCCATTCAAAGGTTCAAGGCGAGGCTTGTGGCAAAAGGTTTTCAACAAAATCCAGGAATTGATTATCTAGAAACATTCAGTCCCATAGTTAAGTCACCCACAATTAGAGTTATTTTGAGCTTAGCAGTGAATAATGGCTGGGAAATTTAGCAGGTAGACATCAACAATGCCTTCCTAAATGGTGAACTTACTGAAAAGGTATATATGACCCAACTTGAAGGCTTTGTTAGTTCTCAACATCCTCATCATGTGTGCAGATTAGTTAAGGCTCTTTACAGTCTAAAACAGGCTCCTAGAGCCTGGTTTGAGAAGCTAAAAAAGGCCTTTTTAAGCTGGGATTTTGTTCACTCAGCTGCTGATCCAAGTCTTTTTGTGTATAAAAAATTGGAAAAGACAATGTATGTGCTAGTGTATGTAGATGACATTCTACTTACTGGAAATGACACCAATTTGCTGCATGAAACCATACATAAACTGAATACTCAGTTTGCTTTAAAGGTTCTAGGCTCTCTCAAGTATTTTCTCGGTTTTGAGGTTACTAGAACAACTTCTTATCTTCACATGAATCAAGAAAAATATGTCAAGGATCTCTTAAAAAAGACTAATATGCAGGATTGCAAACCTTGTACCACTCCAATGGCCATTGGTACCAAGTTAACTTTAGAAGATAGTGATCCTTATGAAAATGCAGCTTTATATAGAAGTACAATAGGAGCCCTTCAGTACTTGACATTATCTAGGCCTGATGTTGCTTACCGTGTTAACAAATTAAGCCAATTCCTTAAGGCTCCTACACAGAATCATTGGCAAGCTTGTAAGAGATTACTTAGATATCTTAAAGGCACTTCTAACTATGGAATTCTCTTTACTAAAAGCCCTACAATCAACCTAGAATGCTATATCGATGCTAATTGGGCTAGTAGCATTGAGGACAGGAGGTCCACAAGTGGTTGCTGTGTTTTTCTTGGCACTAACCTACTGCAATGGACTTCTAGGAAGAAGAAAGTTGTGGCCCTATCTTCCACTGAAGCTGAGTATAGAGCACTTGCTCAATGGTCCACTGAATTGGCCTAGTTTTGTAGTTTATTTTCTGAACTTGGTCTTTCTTTGTCAGAAATTCCAATTATTTGGTGTGATAACCAAAGTGTTGGATCTCTTGCTTCTAACCTAGTGTTTCATGGTAGAACTAAACACCTTGAACTTGATGCACACTATGTTAGAGAACAGGTTACTTCTCACAATCTCAAAGTTTAATATGTGCCCACTGAATATCAAAAAGCAGATATCTTTACAAAGGCTTTGCCTGCCTCCAGGTTTGAAAATCTGAGACAAAAACTGACAATAAAAGCTCCACCTTCCTCTAGCTCAATTGGCTCAACATTTGGTACTTGGTTGTAATTCTGTAGTGAAAGCTGTGTAGTTGGCGGTTAAAGAGAAACTGATTGTGAATTTTGCTTTTGCAGTAGAATTTATTGTGAAGTTGTAGTTTCTGCAGTGGAGTTATTGTGTTGATAGTTATTGAGTGTGAAGTTGTAGTTTCTGCACTGGAATTATTGTGCAGTTGTAGTTTCTGCAGTGGAATTATTGTGAAGTTCTCAGAGTTGTGATTGAGCAGCATTGCAGTTGAGCTAATCAAAATGAAGTTGTCAGTCATGTATCTGCTTAACGTATGGAGAGCTTCTGTTGAGTAACTGGGTTGTGCAAAGCAATTATGGAATTATTGTGAAAGTTCTCAGAATTGTGATTGAGCAGCATTGCAGTTGAGCTAATCAGAATGAAGTTGTTATCTGCTAATCATTTGCTATGCAGTCTTGTTATATGCTTCCAGAATCATTTGCTCTGGAGTTGTTATCTGCTAATCATTTGCTATGCAGTCTTGTTATATGCTTCCAGAATCATTTGCTCTGCAGTCTTGTATCTACTTAAGGTATGAAAAGCTTATGTTGAGAACTGGGTTGTGCAAAGCAATTATGGAAGTTTGATTTACAGGTGGATGTTAGAATGTGAAAGAAATAGCAGACTGAGAGATTCAAGGAAGTTTGATTTACGGCAGGATGTGAATATAAGAAACAAAGCAATGTTGACTAAAGTTGACCAATATTGTTAACTATATTCTGTATTTCTGTTACAATTAGTTGGGTACAGTCACATTCAGTTGGGCTTTTAGTTGTACATTCAGTTGGGCTTTTAGGTGTAACAAATTTGTATATAAAAGTGGGAACAGTACAGTTGTATTAAGCAATGAAGTAAATCCTAGAAAAGATACAGTTACGTTTTTTTCCCAAATTTTCTTTACTCCTTCTCTCACTTTCTTCCTTCATTTTCTCAGCTACTGTCTCAATTCATTTTCCTTTGCTGAGATAGCAAACAAGTCCATTAGAAAGAACAAAGAAAAGAAAAGAAATGATTGGTGTAAAAAATGTTTGACTTTATTGCATAACTATCTGATAGTGATAGAGCTGGATGCCGGCCTTGTCTATCTGGCATGAAAATTAAGCCAAGATTGTAGGAGAAGAGACAATGTTCTGAATTCCTAATATCTACCGCGAGCCAAGAGTATTTCAGAAGATTGTTATCTTTTGCATTGTAATATAGTAAGTTTGTTTGTCTTTCTAATGGCTTCAGGTTGTGGAATTATAGCTATCAAGCGATCCCATTTAGACTGGCTTCGGTAGTAAAACCTATCAGCTGCCCAAGATATAGCAGTCCAATTAACCAAAAATGAGAGCAAAATTTTGACATTTTAGTTAAGATACTTCCGTGGCACTTATTTGAGAAGATGCTAACAAAGAATTAATCATTTGATGATGTTTTTTCTTATTTTTAATTTGATGACAGCCTCAGATAACTACCACTTTAAAATACTTCGGGGGAACAGCACATTGAAGCTTAGTTGATGTGATAAAGTGAATAAAATACTTCACCAAACCTGGAAAAGATGTGTGCCCCAGTATTTGAGCCAGACCAGCGACAATGAATTGGAATACCACTATTTCGAACATCAAGATATCTGGCATCTGTCTCTGTTAAACTTAACAGAGATTATTAATAAAAATATGATTACCAGCTATGATTTATACAATCATAAGTTTAAGATATACAAGACGTATAGACATTCAATCAACATTTTGCATATACTGAATAGTTACAAACTAAGATAAGAAAACATGCTTACTGACTCACTGTAAGGGTTGTGTCAGTGAGTAAAGGTTCTGCGGGACTGGCTAAATGCGTGGGCACATGATAAATAGGAACTGGCATCTTCACAGGGAGATTCGGCATTGCAGCCTCAAACTGAAGAGCTTGAATTGCTTGCCTTATTGAAGGTCTAATATTGCAATCTGGGTGCGTACACCAAAGTCCAACAATCATCAAACAATTTACTTGTTCCGCATCAAACACATTCTCCAATATTTCGTCAGCAGCTGAAAGAAGACTTCCAGTTCCATAGAGATCCCAAATCCGCTCTACCATATCCATTTGAGATCTCTGCTCCACAGGATCAACTGACCTTCTTCCAGTAGCAATTTCTAGAACAACCATCCCAAAACTATAAACATCGGATTCTTTACTCGCTTTGCCCGTTCTTATATACTCCGGCGCCATGTAGCCTAAAGTTCCGGCCAAAAGAGAAGCTGACTGTGGACCCAGCTCATGATCCATAAGCCTAGCTAGTCCAAAATCGCCAAGCTTCACATTGAAATTAGAATCCAACATTATATTGCTGGGTTTAATATCACGATGAACAACACACTGCTGCCATTCTTCATGAAGATAGAGCAATGCAGAGGCTAATCTCAGAGTTATCTTGTACCTCAAGGCCCAAGTTAGAGGACTCTTAATCTTGCCAAAAAGATGATAATCAAGGCTTCTATTTGGCAAGAACTCATAGACAAGTAAAAATTCACCTTTATCGTGGCACCAACCGATAAGTTGAACCAAATTCCGGTGCCTCAATTGGCTAATCACCTTCACCTCGGTTATGTACTCTTTTCTTCCTTGTTTAGAACCCTTGGAAATTTTTTTCACAGCCACTGCCATATCTGTATCATGAAGGTACCCTTTGTAAACGGCACCGAACCCTCCTTCACCTAACTTTCTGTCATTTGAGAAGTTATTGGTGGCCACAACAAGATTATCATAAGAAAACCTTCTTGGTCCTGCTCCTCTTTCAAGATCATTATTAATCGATGTTAAGTTAGCCGCATCTCTTGCTGTTTCTCTCCTTATTCGTTTCTGCCTCCGCACCCACCAAATTCCAAATGTTATAAGAACTCCACATGTCAGAACACCTAGTGAAACTATTAGACCAATTGCTAGCTTAATCTTTTTCTCATCTTTTCCCTTACTAACTTCTTTTACATCCAAACTTGAACTGAACTCCCAAGTTAAAAGTTGATGTCGCTCTGTAAGGTAACTCGTGGCAGCCGAAAACCCAATTGTGACCCACTCAGGTAGAACCTCCATAAGATCAACTTGAAGTGAAAGACTAGAATTTTCTGAAGAACTAGAGGTTGAACTATAAATCCATGACACATTCAAAGTCTTAGTAGTAGCATTATAAATAATCCATGCTTCAGCAGTATCTCCACTGTGCAAGCTAGCATTCCAGTAAGTGTAATTGGCTGAGGATATCGAGTTAGTGTTGATACCAACGTGTTGAACTTCAGGGTCCCATTCCTCATTCGGGAAAGTGTCGAACTCAACTAAAACTATTTGGTTCTGAGACGAGTCAGAAGTGGTGGTGTTAAATAGGCCTAAAAAACCGCCAGCTGAATTGGGCGGGATTTCGAATCCAACAGGAGCAAGGAAGAAAGCAAGCCCGGCTGCATACGCAGAAGCGTTCTTATTTTGTGTGTCGATAATGAAGGAGAAATGGCTTGTAAAATCAGCAAGTTGTCTTGTTTCAGAGTTCCAGAGCGGGACTTTCTCAGCATACTTGACTCGACCAACCTGACATATATAACTCAGACTGTTGAATTCAACAGCTCCAACATTAGGCTTTGCATCTCCTTCATAGAGTAAGTTGTTTCTGCCATTGTCAAACCGAGTTATTTGGAAGGAAACTGAGGCGGCAGAGGGAAGAAGGAACATAGAAGAAAGAAAGAGTTGTAACATGGCAAGCTGTAAACTAATCAAGTTGCAGAAAATAACCATGGGAGGTTTTGCTGAAATGGGCTTAATTAAGACGTAGAGTTTCATCATGATGCGTGCCAATTTTAGTCTATCTCTTGGAGCACAAGATCCAACTACTACCGAATTTTTAGATGGTATGAAAATAGAATAGAGATAAATGAGGTTATAAAATAATCAAATGGAACGTTGATTCTAGCTGTTCAATATTTTGAAGAAATTTCACAAAAATAGCTGTTCAATATTTTATAAATGAGGTTATAAAATAATCAAATGGAACGTTGAAAAAAAAAAAAAAATAGCCGGCATAATAGTGTGATGTTGAAGTGAAATCTAAAATAAATTTTGGTTTCATATTACGTTTCATATTTGACTGTTCAGAGGTTGACCCAATATTTTTAAGTAAATGTTATGAATCAGGTTTTTTCGAAATTAACGATTTCATCAAACAATTGAATAACAGAATTTGAAAATATATTTTGTTAAATAATCAAGATGGGGTATAGGATTTTTTTTTTTTTTCCTTGGTGTATTCTGTATTCATGATATCATTCATCCGAACTATGGATTATAACACTTTCTTTCCTTTCTTTATTAATTTAATTTTGGGTATTGTCCTAACTCTAAATTGGAGAGAGAAACAATTTGTTTATTAAAGTCTTTGAGCTATAGTAAGAGCAGTTTACCAAGAAAGTTTGACTAAAACTAAAGTAGAATAATAATTTGTTTTAGAAAATTATGTCTGGAAGACAAATGTATAAACAATAAAGAAATGTAATTTGACATCTCCAAATAAAGAATTATAAAAATGTGGCCTTGCGCTATTGGCTTAAGAATATCTAAAAATCAAACATCTGGCTTAGTTGACCATTGACTAAGCCAGGTAATGTTGAAGATCGATGTGACTTGCATTTTCTTAAGTAAGTTTTAGCTTTATTTATATACGTCAAATTACATCACGGTTGATTTGAACTAAAAAATATAAACTAAACCAATTAACCAAAAAGAAATCACAACTCTTCCAAATTATATAAGCTAAAAACCTTTATATTTTTTGTAGAATGTTGGCATTGCATTACTAAATAATTTTGAAGCTTGGGAAATTAAGACGGTGACTAGAAAGAAATTGTCGAGCTAAGAAAATAATAGACCTAGCAATTAAACATATTGCCATAACCAAAAAAGAGTTATCAGTTTAGAAAAAAACTTTTAACAAAAAAGATTGTTTTCCTTTTAAACGTGTCCCTAGGTTTGGTTGTTTATAAGAGATAATTTCTGCCAAAGCAATTTTTGATGTATTAGTCAAACGAATAAATCAAATCTCTTGTATAAAAATTTTAGCAATCTACTGGAAACATGACTATGAGACGTTGATTTAACATATATAGCTCTGATCGATGTTGAGTTGGTCTATGTCCCTGTAGTTGGGTCAATCACTAACGTAAAAAATGTTACAACTCCTCTTTTGAACATTAGACTTAGGCCTGGAAATTTCAATATATAAAAAAATTAGGGGATTAAATAAAATTTCTAAGCCCATAGGACCAGTCCAAGCCCTAACAAAAGTCTTAGGCCTGGTCCCAATTTGAGACCAGTCTTTAAGGGCCCACGCCTGGGACTGCCTAGGCCTGGGCCTTGCCAACCTCTATTCAAATATTTTGTTGTACGTTAAAAAAACCAACAAATGGACTTAGACCTAGCAAAACGGGCGGGTGGACCGGGTACGAGCCCAAAACGGGTCGATCTAAACAAGTCCAAAATATTAGACTTGCACTCTACCCTATGCGAGTACGGGTGGACCCGTAGTTACCTGCACTGTTCATAATAATTTTCAATTATGACAATTACACCCCCAAAATTCCTACAACTTTTATTTTTTGCAATCACACCCCGACAATCAACTACTCCCAATTCAATTCAATTTACCACAATCAACTACGTCAAATTCAATTCAATCCTCCACAATCAACTACTGAAAATTCAATTTGATAAAAAATAAAACACAAATACAAATACAGACACAATAACACAAATATAAAATTACAAATTCAAAAACATAACATAAATTTAACTTGGCAGTGTTAAACTAAACATAACATAAAATTACAAATTAAAAAAATTCAACATAACATAAATCATCTTCATCTCACAATGTTTGTGTTAGTAGAGTCTCTTGATTCCACACTCCCCGGATTAGTTAATGGCACACGAAGAAGATCATCATCCATATCATCATCTGCAATTAACAACGGTAAATATTAATAAATGAAAATAATAAAACATATGAAATATTATTATAATAAGTTGTTAAGAAGACAAATCAGATTGTCAAAACCTGGGCTCCGTTTGGTTCATAATTGGGTATTTTTGGGAAAAGTTTTCTGAAAAAAGTAAAAAAAAAAAAGTTGAATTGGGCGGGTATTACGATGTAGGATTTATAAATTAATAAAATACCCCCTATATTTGTTTATTTACAAAACACCCCCTATAATAAAATCTTAAAAGTTAACAAAAACACCCCCAACCCAATGTCAAATACAGACAGCCGGCCACCACCACCGGAGGGTGGCCGGGTTCACCGTATTGGCGCATGACCGGCTGGATCTTGCTGGTCGTGCGCCGATATGGCCTTTGCCGGCCAGATCCACGGTGGATCTGGCCGACAAAGGCCAGATCTGGCCGTATTTTCTCGTCAACGACGACCAAAAAATGGTCGTCATTGATGGTCAACAACGACCGTTTGTTGGCCGTCGTTATAAACCGTTACGGCCAAAGATTTGGCCGTCAACGGCCAGATCTTTGGCCTTAGATCTGGCATTTTCCAGCCAGATCCACCGTAGATCTGACCGAAAAAGGCTAGATCGGCGCACTACCGGCCAGATTCAGCTGGTAGTACGCCATCCTAATAGATTCCGGCCACTTTCTGGCAGTGGTGGCTGGAATCTGGTAAATATGAATTACTGGGGTGTTTTTGTAATTTTTAAAAAAATATTTAGGGGTATTTAATTAAATTATCAAATTTAAGGGGTTTTAAAAAAGTTGAATAATATTGGGAGTAGTATTCTCAAAAATCAAAGTTTTTGGGTATTTTACTGTTTAACTTTTTTGGGAATACTAAAAGTAGCATTCCCAATTGGCAATCAAACGGAGCCCTATTTATTTATAAAAATATTGCGTCAAAATTAATACTAGAGTAGAAGTATGTATAACGATTCGGCTTTTAATGGGATTAGGTGAGACTAAAAGCTGAACAATGTAAAAGATCAATCTCCGAATAAATGGAAACCCAATTTCCCCATTACCAAAAAGAAAAAAGAAAAAAAGTTATCAGACGTAATTAACGAAAGAAGATGCTTAAAACTACACATTTCAGACTTAATAAAAAAGAAAAAGAAAATTAATATAAACAAACTAGTCGATAGATTCTTAATTTTGATTGGATCTTAAAACTATGCACTATGCTTATAATTAATGGTGAGTAACAAACAACTATATAAGTTGATAAAGTGACATTGATTTTTGTTATTTGGCGAATTCCATAGATATCAAAATGTTGTTCTCCAATTGTATTAGGCAATCACCAACTTGCTGGTTCTTTCATATTCAACAGTGTGAATGGACGACACATTGTCATAATGAGAAATAGAAAATATTAATGAAGAGGACTATATATGTCACATCCTAATCCTATTAGCTCAATGTTGAATGCCTTGGCCTACTTAATTTCCTTAATGTGGTTACAGAGTGGTGAAATAAATTAAGCATATGCTATGATAACTTTAATGTATAATACAAACACACACCCAAACCATCCCCCCCCCCCCCCCCCCCCCCCCCAAATCAAACACACACATGAATGAAAAACGGATGGATAAAACAGAGACTGAAGAGAATTCTGGAAATCGTGAACTCTTTTCAACTGATTTCTTAATTGAAAAACAGTAGCACATACAGTGTGAATCTTTATACAAAGAAGACACTGTGTTAACTGAAACGACACAGTTTTAGAGCTGTGATCACAGCATTAGGAAATTACAATAAGGACCTCCACAGTTTGTCCTTTTTCACATTTTGGTTAACATTCCTCCTTAAACTGGACTCTCCTTTGCTCTTGCTATCCCTTTTGCTACACTTTTGTGAACTCCATTTTGTATATCATTTTCCCTTAAAGAGATTGGACAAATCGTAAATTGCAGTGCTCCAACACTTTAATAAAGCATTCCAAAAGTGAACCATTTAACAGCAACTTCAACACTTCAGTTCACCATTCAGTAAAACAGCAACTTCAACACTTCAGTGAACCATTCAACAGCAACTTCAACACTTTACTGGAAGAAAAAAAAACTTCAACACTTCAGTAAAAACAGCAACTTCAACACTTCAGTGAACCATTTCAATACTTCAGTACAACCAGCAACTTCAACACTTCAGTTCACCATTCAGTAAAAACCAGCAACTTCAACACTTCAGTTCACCATTCAGTAAAAACCGGCAACTTCAACACATTTCAATACTTTAGTACTTCAACAAAACACAGCAATTCCAACACTTAAACAGCTAGTTTAGCTGCATTTCAACTACCATTTAACTACCATTTCTACTGCAAAACACCCTTTCCAACTACAGAGCATTTCAATAACAGAAAACAGCAACTTCAACTACTATTTGCAGTCATTTCAACTACCAATTTCTATTGCAAAGCACCCTTTCCAAATACAGAGCATTTCAATAACAGAAACTACAACTACAACTACTGCAGCCTCAATCACAAAACTACTGCTGCAGATTTTTTTTTTTTCATTTCAACATACTGCAACTTTAGTCACAAAGCTGCAACAACCACTTCAACATCAGAACAGATTTTTATTTTTTTTTATTTTATTTTTTCATTTCAACAGACTGTAACTTTAGTTACAAAGCTGCAACAACCACTTCAACATCAAAACAGTTGCAACAATCACTTCTCAACACAAAATCTCATTTCAACTTAACACAACCATTTCAACAACCACTTCAGTTCATCATATTTCAGATTACCATATTTCTGCTTAGCACAAGAACTTCAACAGCCACTTCTGTTCACCAAATTTCAGTTCATACACACAGGCAGCATTAAGCA